TGAGCGTGGCCTTCAAGTACCCGCTAAGCCAATTCGAAGTTGCTTATCTATCTTACTTCTCGACGCAGGTAGTGGGAACATTGCTTCGGCTTCCACTCGAAAAATGATTGCAAAGGGTGGCACCCTGCTCTTGGAAGCAGAACTTCACTCACCTGAATGAGAGCAATTAAGTGTCTTGCTCGCAAAGAGAGCTGGTGGCACGTCCAGTTGGGGCGGCGGCTTGATGGCTACAAGCAAACGAGGAAACGCAACAAGCGCGACCATATGTGTCGAAAGCTTTGAGGCCTTCTCCGTGCTTGGCAAGCACAAATTGTCTTGGTCTGTTTAAATCCCATCTAGAAGGAGGCACCTTCTTTGGACAGAAACACTTGGCTGCTGCAGAGCCTGGCAGCATCTTGTACCTCCAATTTGGAAAGGTGTTCCAACAAGTGGTAGCAATGGTGTGTTGACAACGTTCGCACCATGTGCGCTGAGCTTGGACAAATTCCTCGCTGGCCAACGGTCCTTGCACTCCCCATCCCCCTGTTCGCTGGCAGAATGTGGGCTTCACTTGGCTTCATAGGGTGAGAGCTGGACACCAGGATTGGATCATGGGCTGATTGTTCAACAAAGGTAGTGCCGCGCAGCAAGGACGAAGAACATCGATGATCGAGCTCACTTCTTTGAGGGTGGTATGTTCTGGCTGGTGCCAGGTTCATGGAGCAGAATGAACTGACCGCCCAGGGGACTATTTCTCGGCCATTGTCATTGACTCTTGTCGAGTGACGATGCCCTCCCGTGCAGCCAGGAATGGCTTATGGTGCAAATGCTGAGAATCTCGTGTTTTGGGAGCTGACCTTACACAGGAGGTTGCGTCTGATTTTAGACCAAGGCTCTTGGGATCGGTTCGGCCCCTATGAGGAAATTTAGTTGCAGTATTTCAGATATCCCATGTGGCATGCACATAACAAATCCTGTGTGTGTGTGTCCCGCGTATCCCACAAGGATTCCGACCAATCGCATGTCATGTGCCGAACACAAGCATGATTGTCTCAGAATTGCCCGGAAGCATCCTGATTGCCAGCCGTGGGTCTTAGTCATGCTGACGCATGAGCAACAGTTCGACATGTTGCTTTGGAGGATGGCCCCTTGCCGAGGTGCAATGCAAGAAGCATGTAGCAAATCAAGCTACCAGGTACAGACCTGCCAGCATCTTGCTAGGGATGCAAGAAGACTGCCAGGACGTATACCTGATGTTGGGAAGTCATAGCACCAGAAGATGTGGCCAGAGCTGACGGCTTTCACTTGAGGATGCACTGCGCGTGCTGCAACTGTAAACCCAAATCAACGGGCATTGTTCATTACGAGGGCGCCTCCCAAAAACACATGCAAGATGCTAGCTAGAAAAACACCTGCTAAACAAACCAGGATTGATTCATCTTGATTAGTTTCTTGGGTTACGGGCCTTCAGATCTTCACAAGCCAAATCCCCTTTACATTCACCCCGTCCGTCTGCGAAGTCCATGTGGCAGAGAAAAGGAGCGTAAGTCGGCGCCTGAATCAACGGGTGAAAGAGCGCAATCGGGCACTTCTTCCGACGCGCGTTGCTGTCTTTGGACAATTTTGCAAGCCCGTCACACCCTGCCAACAAGTTCCCCAGTTCCTTTCAACATCCCATCCTCGCAATGCCTGCGCATTCTATTAAGTTCGCCGGTTTGCCGAGAGGCAAAAACCGGAAACAAATTGATCGTGGCGGACTGAAAGTGCTCGCAAATCGAGTTATGTTCTGGATTTGTAAAAAGTCGCTAAACAAGAGCCTCCTCTCTTGTGAGGTGACATTGCTTTGGTGGACTCTTCTTGGAGTTCAGCCGTGATTGATCAGGGCTCACTGCGGGATGGTCTTGTAAACATCGAAGTTGATCACTTCTACCTATTAATCAACCTACCCCGAATAATAAAACTCCCCTCCGCCGCGCCACAAAACGCAAATACTAATTTTAAATTTGTCAGTACTAAACCAATACTAAACTCTGAGACCACACATGTTTTCCAGGGCCTTCCCTCCATGATCTGTTGAAACAAGAAGGTTCCAAGCTATGGTTCCAAGCTTTGCAATCCAAGTTGCTAGCCAACAGTTGCATCCTAAGAATGTTTTTTGAACCAAAGGGTTGCCTTGTGCGACAGGGCTTTATTAGTATGATTTTTAACGACGAGCAATTTGTGGGACACCCAGGAGTCCTCAAATCAAAAAGGTTCCTCCCCAAACGTGTTTTATTGTTAGGGTCTCCCTACCTAGCCTGCCTCCCCGGTCTCCCTGCCTAGCCTGCCTCCCTCAAACCCATAGTAATTGGGTAATTGGGTCGCTATCAGGAACCAAAAGGGCTTCCACGCCTTGTGCTAGAGGGTGTTATTATTTTAGTCTCCCTGCCTAGCCTGCCTTCCAAACCCAAAATTCTCCCCAAAACAAAACGGGCATCTCCCCAAACAGGTTTTATTATTAGGGTCCACATAGTTCCTTATCATGCTGGGGCCTGTGCAGCAAACACTCTCACGCACGCACACTCAAAAGGACTGTCCTCCTCGAGCAAAAAAACACCTCCCCAAACAAGTTTTATATTATTAGAGTCCGCGCGCCAACCCCGAACATTCCAAGAATTTCACAACGGGAATGTCCCTTTCAGAGTTCTTACTTAAAAGTTGCAATCTGAACGAACGTTCTTTCCTGCAGATCAAAGGGGATCGACTTTCCAATCCAAGTCCAACACTAAAGAGCAAACTAAGGCAAACACCGGCGACCCTAATAATGAAACTCCCTCCGGGGGTTGTTATTAGGGCGGGGGTGTTTTTTTTCGGGGTGGGAAGGGATTACAGACTTCAGAATTAATTCGGAAGACCATTGCCGGCTCCTACGACGCCGCAACTGATGATATACATCTCGATCCCATTCTGCATGCTCCGAGGACAAGATCTTGCAAAACTGCGTGCCGGAGTCACGGCTTACAAACACTTTCGCCACTTATATAAATGAACACAATTCCATGCACAGCTAAGTTTCTGATACCCGTCTGTGGCCTTGCTAGGCTGCAACCCGGCCGTCACCCATGCATATGAGGGCTTGAAAGGCATACCCAACATCGTCCAACTGTCAGGTTCTGGCTCGTGCCTCTGGCAAGCGCTCGCCAGTGCCATGATGTCCTGTGACCAAAGTCTCACTTCCCCTGCAATTCATGCAAAAATTGACAGGGGGTAGGTGCGTGTGTGTGGTGTTTGTGCGTGTGTGTGTACTTTGGCTTTGTGGGCCACAGCGAGAACGCCTGCAGAGGGATCGTCGGCCAGCGGGTTAATCCGCACGGCGCAACAGCGAGAGCAACTCGACCGCGCGACCTGGGCTCGTCGGCCAGCGGGAAACACGCACGGCGCCACTGCCAGAGCAGAAGGTTCGTCGGCTAGTGGGTAGATTCGCATAGCGCAGAGGAAAAAAAAAGAAAGGGCTCTTCGACACGCACGATCCTTAGAGGGTTGGCCGGCCAGCGGGTCAATTCGCACGGCGCCCCAGCGAGAGCTCTTCAACACGCCCGCCGGCCGCGTGGAAATTTCCGAGAGTGCCTTGACATGCACAACCCGCCCCCCCCCCCCAGCACAGATTTCATCTTGCTGGCGACCCCCGATCCCACCCCCGCTGAGAAAATACACACGTTCAAAGGCTGCGCATGGCTGCGCCAAGCAAGGCTGCGCAGAGAAGAGCTGCACATCCGCAAAGCAGAGCTGAGCAGAGACCTGCGTAGGGCAAGGCTTCGCAGGTCAGAGCTGCGCAGCAAAGCTATGTTGAAATGCACTATGCAGGAAGGCCATGTTGAGAGGTGCTGTGAAGCAAGGCTACGCTAACCACAGCCATTTCGGGATGTGCTATGAAGCAAGGCTAGGTTGAGATGCGCTGCGTAAGTAAGGCTATGTTGACATGTGCTGTGCAGCGAAGCTAGCCATTTTTGAGCTAGAATCTTTTGCTAGGCTTTCGGGCAAAAGAAGCAAAATAAAATCAAGACTTAAATTCCGAGCCCCACGCCGGCCACCGTTCAGAGCCAGGAAAAACGATCGCCATTGCGAGAGCGCTTCGACACGATCGGGCACCACTTTTCACATACCTGCCACGTCCAGGTCTGCTCTGCGCAGCTCCGCTTTGTGCAGCCCTGCTCTAAACAGTTCCGCTTGGCCGCGCAGCGCATGTCCACGAATCTTGCCTTCGCCGAGCCACGGCGTGTGTCAACGTAGCTTTGGCTCGCAACATGTGTCCGCGCAGGTTCGTCAAGCTGTCATTTTTCTATTGGGCCTAGATACTGACTTAGAGAATTCCGGCTGGAATGCCTTGTCTGCTGCGCAGCGCGCCTTAACATAGCCCGTTGCTGCGCAGCGCAGCTGAACATAGCCCTTAATGCGCGGTGCATCTCTGCATAAATTTGCTGCGCAGCGCATCTCAACATAGCCTTGCCGCGCATCCCATCCCAACATAGCTTTGCTACACAGCACCTTGCAACATAGCTGCGCCGCGCATTGCATCTCATAGCTTGACGGCGTAGATGTCAGCGTAGCCTCAGCACATTTTTGTTCATAGCTTTGCTGCACACCTGATCCTATAGCCTTGCGTGGCACTCCTTGAGGCATGATGGTCTAGTTCTGTCCTTGGGTCCTTGTTTCCTGTTTCCGCCCCTTTTGGTTCGTTACGCGCTGCTCGCGCACCTCATTCGAAAGAATCAGACCCAGAGTCCCCGAATTTGCAGCCACGATCCTCCCAACGAAACTCCAAAACCTGTTTGACACATTTTCGCAGTCTGCATGCATGCCGTCCCATGCAAGTCTGAGTGTGTGTGTGTGTGTGTGTGTGTGCCTCTCCCACCTGGACAGCGTTGAAATCTCAAGCCAAGTGCCGTGATCACGGGACTAACACGTTGTGTACCACATATATGCCATACACTGCAGCCCTACGTTCAACATCCTCCGCACGGGCCTTTTTCCGTCGCAAATTGCCTGGGGTGAAAATGTCTCCTGGCTACCCAAGGGCAGCTCCTACAGAGAAGGCCCCGTCGAATTCACCACACGCCTTGAGCCACTCTGTGCCGAAAGGGCTGAAGGCGCCGCATCGGAAGATGTCGCGGCTAGATGTTGTCCACATCCACGCCAGCCGCCTGCAAAATGCAGAAGGGAACGATGAAACAGTCCCCTTGGGAATGGATCAATGAATTTTCTTGGGAATGGAAGGTGGGTATGCCATAGCTTCTTTGCCATCACTTGGTTGACGTTGGAAGGGGAGCAAATATTTGGAACTTAGCAGGTAAGAATAAGCAACATGTGAAATGTTTCCCAACAACAACAATGATCAAGCTGCTTGGCTGAATGTGATAAACAAATAAGAGCTGCCTTGGAAGCCTACCACCACGGCCAGAAGCCTTTGAAGCCTTTTGCATCGGCAAAGGGCCAAGCTGTAGCCTTATTCAGCTGATGGCTTGAAATCACTGGACCACCCTAGCAACAATACACATCGGCCAAACAAAAACAAAGCTGGGGGCAAGGACGTAGCTTGGATGAACCCGGCCGGCTCAGTAGAGTTTATTTTGCAGACTCCAACCCTAAAAAAGCAATTCCCTACACAAGGAGGTTGCAAAATATAGGCCCTAAGTGTCCACCATACGCGTTTGAAGGGACAGTAAAATCTAGCGCAGCACCAAACTTTGAAAAGACGGTTAACGTTTAGTGGATACTCTGGGGTTCATCCACCTTGGCCCACATCTCTGCCAAGTATTTGCTTGGACCAATGCATGCATGCATGAAAGTGCCCGTTTCCAATGACTGGCTGGCATCTCAAATGTATGCCGTGCACAGGCATTCCAATGAGGCCACTGTTTTCAAGTTGTATGCACTCTCGGGAATGCAGCATTTGAGGTTTGCCAAGGTGTGTAGCGTACCTGTGCAATGTCCATGTCTTGTCCCAAGGCCCGCCACCAAGCAATACCAACAGTGTCAAGCTATTTTTGAGGGTCCCCTCGAATACCACAACCACCCAAAAACGATTTCCCGATTCAGGAACCTTCCCTGTCAAACTGTTCGCCTCGTCGAACTCCACGCCGTCGTCGCTGGAGTCCCCGTCGCCAATATCCGTCTCGTTGATCTTCACCTCGAGCCGATCGGATCGAATCCATAGACACCAGTCGATTTGCAGACCCGATGAAAACACATGAAAACTAAGGAACCAGCAAATGGACAAGTTGCAACAGGCCCTGTGAGCCCACCATAGTCCACCATGGGGCCAGGTGGGTATCATTTGTTTTGGGACCGATATGGGAATTTCGAGGGCGCTGGCCGGCGGGCCCATATTTGGGTATTGGATTGGAGGCACTTCGGTGGACATTGCGGAATTGTCTGGGGAAGGCCAACATGCCGTACTTTTTTGGCACTTCCGAGTAAATCCCAAGGCAATGTTGGCAATTCGTACCAGCATCATTCCACATTTCTGCAAAGTTTCGGCTTGGAATGGTTATGGCGTTTTGTGGCACAAGGAGAAAAAATACAAAACACATCGTCCATCAAAATACCTGCCGATCATTTTAAGGGCCCCATGCTGATCCACTGACCCATGTTTGGTGCATGGCCACGCAGTGGCTCACAAAATGCCTGGAATAAAACAAGGAATACAACTCAGCAAAAGCGCCCGTGCCAAAAAGAAAAGGTCTGCATGGCACTCATCCCAGGCCGGAGCAGCTTGAGGAACAAACAAGACTCAACAAGTAGTCCCTCAAAAACAGGGGGCAACGGAGCAACTGCAGTGTGGCTTGTTTTCTTCAGACACAAGCTCCCGGGCGTCTATGTTCAAGACGGCATACAGCCCGTGTCACTTGACAATGAAGCTTAACCCCCCTGCCATCTGCCAAGCACTTAACATCCAACACTTGCCTTTTTGTTGGGAGTGTGGCTTTCTAGGAAAAACCAAGCAACTTCCATTTTTGGGGGATTCTTTGAATGCACATGCGAGACTCGCGAGTCAAGCCACGGTCTCCGGCAGCTCCCCGTAATTTTTCAGGCTGCGGGCCTCTTCCTGGGGCGCAAAACGCCACGTTTCGAGCACTCTTGTGATGTACCCCGGGTGGACGTTTTGCCAAGCAGGGGGTCTGCTTCCCCGGTAAGTTCTGGTACAACCCCAGAAATACTCATTCAGAAGAACATAATGAGCATTAGCCTTTCAGCGCTTCTTTGTCACACTATCTCAATCGAAATTCAAATGCGGTGGGGCAGTCGGCCCCATTTTGCTGACAACTCGGCTGAAGTGCCTTGGAACCAAACTGCTGAAATGAGCCGGCCGCAATGGGCTTCCAAGTACAGTATCGGTGGTTTTTAGCTGACTGACAGCAAGAAAGGTTCCAAATGCCACGCGCACACCCACACACAGCAACCAAGGGGGGAGCATAAGTTGAACACTGAACCAAAAATGCAAATACAGGGCATGTGGCTTTGATGTGGCTACGCCGCTTTCAAAGTGAGCGTAAGAAAAAACAAGAACCCACACCTCGCCAACTTACCTCCGTGGAACCTCCGATGTGGAGATTGCAAGTGCGAAGACAGCGGGCTCGGAACGGGCGGAAGCTTGATTTGAGAGGGTCTCACAGCCTCTGCGCTAGGTCGAGTGCTTGGCCCCCAGTCGCTTCGTCTTGAATACAGAAGCTGACCTGTGGAACATGCAACAATCCATCCCCGCCCGAGCAAAATCATAACAGCGACTTCTTCCTCTTCTTCTTCTTCTTTTTCTTCTTCTTCTTCTTCTTCTTCTTCTTCTTGGAAGCTAGTGCAGTTCTGCCGCGTGGGTCTCTGTCTCCCTCCCGCCCCTCCACATTGACAATGTAGCTAAAATCATTCGGCGCTCTGGCCCTTGGCCCTCTTGCAATCCCGAAAATGCGTGGCAGGGCAACTTCGATGAGTCATCAGGACCCAGGAATTGAACGCAACAAAGCAAACAACAAATAATCACAAAACACGCCTTCGCAAACAAGCACCACCATCCTCAAGACTTTGCTGGGCTCCAAACATGTCACGACCCTCCACATGACACGAGTCAAACTTTCCTTGGGGGGGCGGGGGGGGTGGGGGAGTGCTAGTCTCGCCTTAGGCAAGTCCCAACAGCGCAATTGTGAAGCGCACACCCTAAGAGCACGAAGGATGGCAAAGGCTCCCCTTGGTTGGCTCTCAATACTACCATCTCCGCTTCAGGCAAGCGCGCTTTGCGTGGACTCCCAACCTCAACTGGGGGCGGCAACCACCGAAGCAAGCGGCTGCCGAAACAGTCGTGTTTGGGCAAGTGTGCTTTCTCATTTTTTGCAATTCTAACAGCTGCTCTCTTATAGAACCAAAACGCGGCACATTGGACTTTTCACTCTTGGTGCTTCACCTCTGGCCGCGCCTGTCCTATGCGCATCAAAAGATGCCTGTTGCAGGCCTTCAGTGAAGGCTTGGCTTGTGCAGCGTGCAGCACAAAGCACGTCATGTTCGAGCAGCGGAAGGTCAAGTGGTTTCCGATTTCCTGAAAACCCGGGTGGTGCGAGAGCGCTATATAGTATAGCTGAAGTCACGAAAGCTGTCTGCGCAACTTGCTTCAACATCAGGCCTCTAAGCTGATTATTGCAGCGCGTCATTTTTGGCTTGGCGGGTGTTTGGCTCCTAGGTTCGGAAGGCACTGAGATGCGACCACCCACCCTGAAAAAGCCAAAGCCATGCCACAACCCTAAACCAGCCCTGAACCCCTATGAAGCAACCCCAAACCATCCCTAAACCAGCCCAAAACCAACCAACCGTCCAACCGTAAACAAACCCTAAGCAAGTCCTGTACCAGCCCAAACCACATCTAAACCAACCTAAACATACCTAAACCCACTCTGAACCAGCACGAAGCCATCCCCGAAGCACGCAAAACATACCCTAAACCAAACATAAACCCACCCTAAACCCAAACTAAACCCACACCAAACCCACCTAGACCCAACACCCTAAATCAGAACTGAACCACCCTAAACCAACCCAGTACCCCATATGGCCGTTTCTTGATCAGACTCCTTCGACCGAACAAATTGGGCATACGCTTTTTCAACACAACAAATTGTTGAACAAATCCGGGTTTCAGACAGGTCGTAATTATACGCAAATGAGCGTACATAAAAGGTCATACGGGCAAATATGGCCAACTACGAGGTTTTTAAACCCACCCTTAACCAACCCTAAGTAGGCTTAGACCCTTTCATGACCAACCTAAACCCACCCTGAAGCAGCCCGAAGCCCGAAGCACACTAAATACTAAACCGACCCTACACCCAACCTAAACCCACCCTAAACCCAGCTGAACCCAACCCCGACCCCAGCACTAAACCAACCGTAATCCTTCCCAGCCTGTGCAACCCCCTTCGCCAACCTCCCTAAAGAAACCACCTAACCCCCACCCTGCGCCGACCTAAACAAAGTTTGAACCCCCTAAACTCAGGATCCAAAGCTTTTGGAGGTTAGGGTGGGTTTGGTTGTGGTTTGGCAGGGTGTAGGGTTGAAAAGCCACCAAACACACACACACACCACACACACACACACAAAAAGCCAAACGCCAGCCCGGAGAAAAACAAACAATGACGAAACAAAGGACTCACCAACGCCGGTGCCCGACCGACCGAGCAGGGCTACGCAAGCCTAGGCAAAACAACTGTCTAGGAGTAAACAGCAAACACAGCCTCTACACAGCCTACACCCGGCTCAGAAGTGGCCCTGAGGTTGATACTTGAGGCCCGCTGCTGGCACCCATTGAAAAGAAAGCTCACCAATAAAACGCAGTCACAAGGATTCACAGGTTCGTGAAGAGGCCGCCTGGGCAGCCCATCTGTCCTCAAGCAAACATCTCTACTTCAATCAAACTGTTCAGGCCAGGCTTCGGCGGTGTACTTCACGATGATGTCGCCCTTCTCATCCTCGAAACAGTTGCTCTCAAACTTGGAAAGGATCCGCGCGTGACGCGCTTCGTTGAAGGGAATGGGGTTTCTGCTAGAACCTGTGTTTGAACTCCTGCCTAGAGCTCCAAAAGGCGCCCTCGAACTGGCAACCGCAACCCTTTCTGTGGAACGTCTCCGTGGCTACCGCCTACTTTAGCACTTCAAGGGGGGTAGTCACAAAAAGTAGAAAACCCTCCCCCCAATTTTGAGAATGCCTCTACGGCCGCAGGACTTCCAGTGCCCGGCAGGCAGCACACCTCAAAACCGAGGGTGCACTATCTTCCGCTTCCAACTGGGACGTCCCTGCTATGGGAAAGCGACCTACGTGATTCGCGGTAATTGAAATTCGTAGCTCTGAGTGAATGGTAAAACACACACACTCTCAGAAACCTCAAGGTGCTTGAAACAAGCAAGGCATCCCCACTTAAGAACATGATGCTGTGTCCTGGCTGCGGTTGTCCTACCCAAAGTGAGGCCGCTGAATTTTGCCTCACTCATGTCGGAGGAGACCGTTGCACTTGAAACGCCGGGATGGTCAGCAGCAAAGTTTAGTGGACAGGAAGGCCAAATGGCCCACCACGATGCACATCTCGGTCCTGAAAATCACGAAGAGAGACCAGGACAATGTCGCCCTGGTTGCACCAGACCTTCTTTCGCATCTTGCCTGGCCAGTCGCGAGCTGTGAAGTTGGCCCGAGACATTAAAGTCACCCTTCGAATTGCTAGCGGTTGGCCAGGCATCTTGTCAAAACATTGGATTAAACCTCCAGGTTGAAAGCGACTCTGGTTGGAGGTTCTGACTGTTAGCACTTTCGCCCCCTCAGCAAGGTTCCTCGCAATTCGCCAGCCCAGATTCACCAGGTACACCCGAGTGGTTCCGACTCCCTGAACTCAATGGCCACAAACCGGGCTGTACAAAATGAGAAAGGGGACCAGTTTCGTCACAGGCTCACCCACTCGCCAGCCAATGGTTCAATTCTCTGGACTAATGGCAAGCCTTTGAATGTGAGACGGTTGCACAGCGGCCAGCACCTGGCAGCTGTGCAAACGTCCAGTTCAGCCGAGCTGCCGCGAATGTGGCACAACCTCGAGAAAATGCGCGCGCTTCTGCGGATGCTTGCTTTTCGTGGATGTTTTTTTGGGGTCTATCGCATTTGTGTTCGGGGGTTTTCCTTCGTGCAAGCCAGCCACAAGCAACATGCCCAGTGTCAGAGCCGGCCGAAGCAAGCCAACTCCGTCAACCTATCCTTCAGCCGGTTCAGCTCACCGAAAACCCTCGAAGACTCGAATCGCCCAGCCAAACCCAAAGCTCATGGGTTTGAGGCGGAAGCAAAGGACGGATAGAGCCCAAGGCTTGAAGCCAAAACTCCAAGATTTATAAGTTAGCATTACTTGGCCTTTCGGTGCTGGAGAGGATTATAGGGTCCTGGTGCCCTTTACCCATGCCCAAAGCTCATCAGAATCGGCAGACGCAACGACGTTCATCTACGTCGCTCCCTCCAAAGAAAGCAACCCTGCAAGGCAAGCCTCTGAGCTGCATATGATCATAAATGCCCGACGGCCGCTCCATCCACGAGTTCTGCAAATCTGGGGTAATTCCAAAACTGAATTACTCAACCTGAACTATGAGCTTGTAAGCTTTCAGCTACATAAACCCCAACTGAGTTCACCATTCGCGAAGTTGGTCGAGTGATGCGGGCTTTTTGGGAAATCAGCAGGACCAATCTTTTGAGGTAACGTCGCCGCCGGGGAACCGCTTCACGCCATCGATGCACGATACATCGCAGCGGCCATTGCCCAACATCCGGGTGATCTGGCCGTACTCCTGGCCAACACGGGTGCATCTCTTTGAAGGGAAGCCAAAGGAAACCTGCCGTTTGGGGACTGGGCGTTCCGCCCTTAATTTGGATAACCCGATTGAAAGCTGTCGCTTCGATTTCTGGCCATCACGCCAGAAATGCAAGTTGCAACATACTGTAGTGGGAACCACGGACAAATGATGGGCCACCTCCTTGCAAACATATCGGTGGCAAACAAGTGGCAAATAAAACGATGCCTTGAACCTCTGTGTAGATACCCTCTATGAATAGAAACAGGTCTTGCGCAAAACAAAAGGGAAATCTGGTCAGAGCCCCCTTGCATGGAGTTTCTCTGATTCCGCTATGGTTCGCGTCTTGGGCGGCGAGCACCTAAGCGCTGCATGCTGGCTGGGAGTGAGGACCTTGACCTGCCTTGGGCTCGTCAGCTTCCCTCTAATGGGTGACTTGGATTTGTGGTTTGGAAAGCTAGCAGGTAGCGGAACCTGAGGACTCCCACACCCCGCACCCCCCCCCCCCCGATTTGACAAGCCTTATTCGAGCCAAAGGGCGCTGGCTTCAAGCAAGTCACTGCGGTGGGGATCCCTGAGACCTAGTTGCCCAAAAGCCCTGCTAGAAAACAAGAAAACCCTTTTGGGGCTTGACCATGTTTAGTGGGGCAACCATGGCCGACTGATCTACCAATCCCTGCTTCATCACATACATCTGCATATCGGTTTGTTCTTACACAAGTTGCAAACCTGCATCCTATCTCTGTGTACGTATATGCGTGCACCAACTTTTCCTGAACATAGCTGTATGTACCGGCACTCCTGGCCATCCTCCTTGAACTCCAGCTCCTTCTTGTTGTTCTCGGTGCTGGCCTGGCGCTACGACGTTACGAGCCTCGGCCCACAAATTGGTTCTCAAACTAGAAATTGGACGGGTCGTTTCAAGATGTTTATTTGTGGCAAGCTTCGCAAACCCCTGTCCAGATTCCAGCCTTGGCTCGCTTGGCCTTGTTACCTCCGAGCTTGTTCTTCGGCATGGCGTCACTGAAGCCTCAGAATGCAGCGCATGCGAAACCGGCAATGACCCGTGGACAGCGAACCAGCCAATCAGTTCATTATTGGGAACGCTACAAATCTTACCCGTCTGCTTTGCCCGGACGAGCACAAACACTTTTCCGGACCTTTGAATACTGAAGGGCATTCATGAAAGCCTGTGCGGAAGGCTATGACTTGTCCGCTTCTGTTCATGCATTCACTTCCAAGCTACTTGCAGCATGACATGAATCAAGTAGCTAATAATGGCAAAGCGCAATATTTCTTTGCGTTGCTTTGTGAACCGACCGAGAAGGCCGGGTAAAATCCGGATTACCCAAAGCTCCAACGGGCCACCCACATCCGATTTTACCCTGCGGCCTTAGTCCTCTGCGAAGCCTTGCTGCTTCACATGCCACGACTGAGCTCAGCACTTAGCGCGCAAACGTTTGGCACAGAGCTGACTTCGAGCCGAAGAAGCGGACTGGACTCACATGCGCCCCGCAAAGCCCACCACGCCCGACGGACGGAGCACTGCACATGGATGCTGCCTTACCAGAACCTGACAGCAACTTTGAGTTGGACGATGGCAATCAGCCTGGATCTCAAGCATGTTTTGTTCAGCATGTTCAGCACATGTTGCAATCGATGGCCTCACTACAAACTGACCGCCCTAGCCACCCCAGCAGCACCCCTCCCTTGGAAACAAACATGGCGGGAGCCCTGCAACAAAGCCTAAGCCTAAGCCTATACTGGGGCTGTAGGGCTGTCCACAGCTGTTCCCTGTCTCTGAAAGGGCCCATAACTCCAGGGAATAACGGATGGCAAGCATCGGCAAGTAAAAGTGAAAACGCCACGTCACACAAACATTGGTCAAAAATCCGACTCGGGTAGAAATGGGATTAAACTCCAAGAACCTTTGCCTCTCCTCTTCGAAGCCTTCGTCCATCAAGCGGTCGCCCTCATCCAGGATCAGCCGGGCCACTGCCTGGAACCCAAACAGGATCCAAGCCATGCCCAGAACGCTCAGCCAAAGACAACTGAGGGGGGAATGATGGGGAATGGCTATGGAGAAATTCGCAGGGAATGACATTGAAAGGAAACCAAGCTGTTGGGCGTGGGATCCAGGTTCCACCCTCGGCCAGGACTTCATTTCTCCAGAAGGATGGGGCTGCAAATCCCCATCCCCAGTCAAAGGGCATTGCGATTGAAGACAAACTAAAGGCACCACTGAATGTCTGACAACGAGAACGAGGATAGCAATGGCCAGGGATGAGAAAGGAGACGAAGACAAGAGTGCAAACAGCACGCAACTACAGGCATGCGTGCGGCAAACTCCGTGGCAAGGCTAGCACAGAAGCTTCAGACTCCAGAAGTGCTTCGGGCTAGCCCTCATGGCAGCTCAAAGAAGCCATGACATGAAATCGGACTTTGGCGCCGGCACCAACAAATATCCAATGTGGGCTGGGTGACTGAATAAATAAGGGCCCCCCTAATCCCCCAAACAGTTTAGGGGGACCCAACAAAGAAAACCGGATTTGAAAAACAATTTGGGGGGCAGATTGGCCTCCCAAGTTTAGGATTGCTTCGTAGTAGTTTAGTCTTGGTTTGTGCTGCCTGAGACCAGGGCCGTCGAAGGTTTAGAACATGGCCGGATGTTTTGTTCGGACAAAACCACAAATTATTATATTATTGTATTAAGATGTATTAGGTAATTACCAGTTTTCATCTTGGGGGTGGGGCATAACTCGCGCAACACTTTCTTGTCTTGAATCGAGCACCGACATCCTCGCGTTCCTGATCAAAATACCTCAGCCGTCTTCCCCCATCGGCCCCAGGCACCCTCAAAGAGATCAACGCCTCCGGCAAGGGCACCTGCTCCTGCGGTCACAGTTGCAACTATCACAGGCACGCCTGCGGGGAGCTGCTGGTGCTCACCACATGCCATACAAAGAGGCCGAACTGCGGGGCGGGACATCAGAGGCGACATTCACACATTGGACGGCGTACACACACATACCGTCCCTACATGGAAACTCGCGAAGATGTTAGGGAATGGTGGTACTTCTTGCCGAGAAACATGTTTCTGTCTCAACGGGGCTGTTTCATCCACTGTAGCTTGTTTATTGAGAAACCTACAAAACATCCAACCAGCCTCAACGTGCCCCTGCGCCATTCTGGAAATCTACTACACTGCCCAAATTTGACTGAACATCCCGGAGAGAGTTGGTTTATGATTGGGGTAAGGTGGCTTTAGCCTTTTGCTAGGGTTGGCTTAGGATTGGTTTAGGGTCGTTTATGTCTGGGCTCAATTTGGAGTTGGTTTGGGGTGGTTTTGCGTTGGTTTACAGTTTAGGCTTGGTTTGGGGTTCACTTTGGGTTGGTAGGGTTCAGGGTTGGTCAACTGAGGGTTGGCTAGGTGTTCGGGTTGGTTTTGGGTTGGTTTTAGGGTGGCTTAGGGTCTGTATAAGGTTGGTTTAGGGTTGGGTCTTGATAGGGTGGGTTTGGGGCTGGTTAGGGGTTGCTTTAGGGTTGGTTTAGGGTCGTTTTAGGGTGTAGGTTGGTTTAGGGTTGGTTTGGGGTTGGATTGGGGCTCTCGCTGTCTCTCCCTCTCTCTCTCTCTCTCTCTCTCTCTCTCTCTCTCTCTCTCTCTCTCTCTCTCTCTCTCTCTCTCTCTCTCTCTCTCTCTCTCTCTCTCTCTCTCTCTCTCTCTTTGATTCGGGTTTAGTTAGGATGTTTTGGGGTTGGGGTGTTTAGGGTGTCGATTTGGGGTCGGTTTAGGTTTGGTTTAGGGTTGGCTTCGGGTTGGGTATGGTTGGGTTCGGGTCAGTTTAGGGTTGGTTCGGGGTTGTTGTAGGATCGGTTCAGGGTTGGTTTGAGTTGGTTTAGGGTTGGCTTAGGATGGTTTCGGGTCGGTATAGGCTTGGTTTAGGCTTTGTTTAGGGTGTCAATGGCTGGCTGGCTGGCTGGCTGGCTAGCTGGCTGGCTGGCTGGCTGGAACGCAGTGGAAACACAATCCCCGTTGTGGACAAAACTACCCATAAACATGTCTCACCTTGAGGAACAGGCCTCCATCTCTGTTCATCTTGGAGTTGCCAGTGAGAGTTACATCTCGAGCCGGCTTTGGGCCCGGAAAGGACCAAGAATCCGACCAAGCTGTCATTCGCCTAGCAACCACAGCAGCCTGTCCTTGCAAATTTGCTGAAACAAACAAAAAGGAAAGCCCTGAAGAAGATTCCCGCGGGGTCAGCGGCCCTTTGTGCCAAAGCCCGATGTTTTCCACACAAGCGTGTTGAGTGCCTTGCCACTCCGGCTTAGAAATTGTCCTCAAACAAATCAATGACGTGTTGCCTTTTGGTGGGTCTTATACCCCAGATTGATAGTGTTGCTGTGGGCAACGATGGAAACACCCTCATGCAAAGCAATGATAAAGGTCTTGAATAGGGGAAACACGGCGTTTCAAGAATGCATGATTCGTCCAAAGCTTTCGACTTGGGTATCGCTGCTTAGTGCCCCCTATTGCTCTCCCTGCTGCATAGCAGCTCACACCAAAACACATATTACCGGTGTGTCTTCCAACAACTGTGGGTCCTCTCTTCTTTTTTCCTTACAATTTGCCTCAAAAAGGGGTTCCCTCCAAGGGCACACCCATATGCAGTCGGCGTGCCGAGTGGGCCTTCCACTTTCCCAGCCTTTTTGTTTTCCTTTACCTCCCTAGGAAGCCCAAGTCCACACCTCCCAAACATGATTCTGACCGCTTTGCCCGAAAACGCAGAGCAAGGCTGTCCTCGCGGATGTCGCCTGAACCGAGCCATCCCGAACTCTGACCGAGCCAATAAGTCATCGCCCCAGGGGCACAGGGAAGTCTCTCGAGCGCCCATCTGCTGAAGCATATTTCAAAACATTTCTGGGCTTATAGTCATTGCTGCTCGCTCGAATGCCCCGAGCCACACGTGCCACGGTACCCCAACAGCAAAACTTGCCCACCAACGGCTTGGTGAGGTTATTTGAGGTTCCCCATTCCACTTCAAAGCCTCTGAAGTGGCCCCAGCATGACATGCTATGCGAGGTCTCTCGAATCCCCTCAGGGAAAGATATGCCAACCAAACACGAGGGACGATGAAGGCCGCCCAAAGACGCCCCATAAATCCATGCTAGGGGTTTCTATCCAACCTAATGCAGTGTTCGGACCTTTTTGCGTTGACCATTCCATCAACCCCGGAAGAAGGGGAACCTGCTGAAGGGACTGGAATATGCAACCTTTCCCCTCCTCGCCCCGCTGTTCAAATTCTGGAGCTTGCATATTGACGCAACCCTGCAGGGTCTGTTTGAGAGGATTTCCTCCATTATACATGCCGGTGCAAAATCAGGCTGGAACTCAGTGGCACGAGCTAGAACTTGAAGAGTTCAGGTGGAAACAGCCGGATGTCCTCTGCTATTTCCATGTCCAACAGGACGTAGTTTGACGAGGGTTCCTGCAATAGTGCTAAGAAATCCGAACCACGAGCTCCAAACCACCCCCTGTTCACCACACACGCCCTATGCTAAACGGGCATGCCTTCCATTTAGGAAAAGTTGCCTCTGCCATCGGTGCCCCTCGGTCCTGCTACCAGTCGAGCCGCCGTGGAAGCCGGCCTTTGGCCGCCTGGGTTCTTAAAAGCGGTTGTGCCGCATGTGTTGGGTGTCTCTCAAAATGCCGAACCCCCATAATTAATAGACAGTTTCAAACCGAAACCCCAAAGAAGCCACACTGTCACACTAAAAATGCTTGCCACAATCCATCATGTCGGAAACCTTCAGATTTCTCCGGTAGCCTGGTGTACATGTGTGCGTGAGAGAGAGTATGTATGTGTGTCTGCGTGACTGCAGTGTGTCGCTGTGTGCCTGTGCCTGTCTGTGTGTGTGTGTGAGTGTCTGTGTTGTGTCTAGGTGTCTGTGTGTGTGCGTGCGCGACACACACACACACATACACACACACTGTGTGTGCGTGCGCGACACACACACACACAAAAAGCATGTTTGGTCTGGCAAAGACTTTCTGAAGATTAGGCTCCTGGCAAAGGGCCCGCAAGCGCCCTGGCGTCGCCACCTGAGCAACATGCAAAGCACGGAGGGGCCGGCATACTTTTGCCCAATAATATATGTACTTATCCAGTTTATGCATGTATGTATTGTTTGATTCATTTACTTCTTTGTTTGCTTATTGATTTCTTCTTTATGAGTTTATCTGTACATGGATGTATTAATTTACTTATTTATTTCTCTATATCTTGATCTGTTCAACCTACTTTAACTGACGGACTAAGTCATTGGTGTCTTTGTTTACCTGCTAATTTGTTTATCCACTCATTCTCTGATTGATCCATTTATTGACTGGCTTAAGTATTGTTTTATTCTATTAATCAAACTCATTTCTTTTCCTGCCGTCTGATGATTTGGCAGTCTATTCACTACGACTGCTGCTGCCACTCGGGATGCCCAAGAAA